AACCGCGCGCAGGGCGAGCGGCCTGTCACCCTGATCGGATACTCTCTGGGAGCCCGCGCCATTCACTCGTGCCTCAAGACGCTGGCCCAGCGACGGGCCTTTGGTCTTGTCGACTCGGTCGTGCTCATCGGCGCCCCAACGCCGTCCGACACGGAGCAGTGGCAGGTTCTCCGTACCGTGGTCGCGGGCCGCATCTTCAACGTCTACTCGGAGAACGACTACATCCTGGGCTTCATGTACCGCGCCACATCGCTGCAACTCGGCGTCGCGGGCCTCCAGCCCATCGAGGGCGTCGACGGCCTCGAGAACTTGGATCTCAGCAAAGACGTGGCGGGCCACCTCCGCTACCCAGACCTGATCGCGCAGGTCTTGACCAAGTGCGGCTTCCCCGACGTCAAGGACGGCGAGGGCGAGATTGAGCGAGACGAAGACATTGAGCGCGCCAAGCAGGCGCAGCCGGATGACATGCCTGAGGAGGCACGCGCCATCCAGGGCGAAAAGCCGAAGACTGGTGGTGGTGGTGGTGGTGGTGGTGGTGAGCAGGATGCGAAGGAGGACGAGCCGTCGCCCCCTCTGCCTCCGAGGAGGAAGGCCGAGACGGGCGCCGGCGGGGCGACCTCGCCGCCTCCGTGGGCTTCAGACAGGAAAGAAGACCCTCTCAACTTGGGCACGGCAGGGATGAAACACGTGGAGCCACTCGCGGAGCAGGACTTGCCCGAGCGGCCCAAGCCTTGATTTTTGGCGATGGAGACATACATATTGGGGTGACAGGGGGCATGACCGATGACATGTATATATATATATATATATATATATATATATGCCTATCTTGCTTACCCCGGGTAAGCTCAGGGTTCATGATCGAGGAAAGTTCCGGCAAATGAGATGATGCACTATTGAATCTGCCCATCTCATTCAAAGTGATGGTCTACGTACAATATGGTGAAGGCCCGAGGCCAATCTCTACATCGGAGCACAGTCTCGACCCTCACTCCAGCCCACGATGGTGGCTAGTGATCCCCTGTCTACTAAGTAAGGTCATGGCATGACAAACACTCGTCCTGGGCCGACTACTCTCATTGACAGGGAGAACCAACGCGCGCTCCGGACGTGGCGTGCTGCAGGGTCCATAGAAAACCACAGGCTAATTCAGTTGTTGCGGTGCCAGGTGGGAAGGGGAGGGCGGGTAGGCAACGTGGTTGGTCGCCAGCAGTCTTGCGGTCTGGAGCGAACGAAGGTGCTTGGGTATGTTCAGGTGTTTTGGGGTCAGCATCGCACCGAGCGGACGGCCACAAAGGGGGGGCCCGAGGATGAAGGCACCCGATCAGAAAAATCAGAGCAGAAAGGGCGGGTTGGCAGTACGTGATCGCCGACCTTCGCACATGTGGCTCACCCTTTGCTGTGCCTACCTCGTCCCTTTCTACGTGGTCCCGTCAGATGCATGCGATGACAACCCCGGCGAGGAGGTCTCTCGGACGATCCCGTGGCCCAGGCCCTCGGCGTGGCTGTTCTGGTGGATGGGTAGGTAGTCTTGTCTGTTCAGTTCATCGATCACCATATTGCCCCATTTCCATCGAAGGAGGGGGAGGGAAACAGCCCGAGGCACTTGCACCGCTCTACCGTCTCGCCGCCACCTGAGGGGCTCCTCCACAGAGTCTCGTTTTCCCCTCTGGGAGCATGTCGATATCGAGGTAGGTGTCTAGGTACCGCAGTTGGTAGGTGCCTACTAGCGGTCGAGGCACCCTGCCGGATAGACGCCAGCAGCCTTGGCGGGGCCGCTCCACTGGACAACGCTGGACGACGGGGGGCACAGGGGGGTGCCCGGTACTTGGTACCCGGTACGACGCCTGCCAGCTGCCTGCCCAGGTACCTCCCTGCCTGTCCAGGTGTCCTGCCTGCCTGCCTCGTAAGGTACCTTAGTTCGTGGTACAACTAGCCGACCCCCGCCGCTGTGTGCGGGAGGGCGGTCGCAGGCCAGGTCGGTAAAAGGGATTGGCCAGTAAGTACCCAGGTACATGAGCAGCAGCCAGCGCACATAGCAGCGGGCGGGCATGACAGACAGACACAGGCTTGACAGGGCCCCCTCGCCCACCCCGAGGGACAGGGACGCACGGGAAAGAAGGGTCGGCTCCAGGGACTGGGACTGGGACTGGGAATGGGAATCCCATTTCGTGAGACGCCCCTTCCGTGTCTGTTCATCCGCCACCTCATTCTTTTTCCTTCCATGCGAACGATCCCCTCAGACACCACCACGTCGTCGTTTCCTTCTGTTTCCCTTCTTCTTCTGCTTCAGTCTTGTGTTCTTCCTCCCTCTCTGCCTGTGCATCTCGTCTCCCACCCATCCTGACTCGGTCTCGTCGCCCATCCTGATCGTCCCAACGAACGAACCATCTTCCTCGCCCAACCAAGAGATCTACCCGACACACACCGAGCCGGACCCTCTCCTGTACGACCTACCCGTCTCAGGAGTAAGTCAGGTCGCGCCCAAGCCGCCGCACCTCCGCCCTTTGTCCGCCTGACCAACAGAATCTTTTCCAACCCAGAAGCCCAGACGCACCCCCCTCCCCCCAAAAAGACCAACAACACCGGCCAGAGGAAGATCCCAACTCCACACGACGACCACCTTGTGTGGCTTTTCGCCCTTGCCGACGAACGGAAGAAAAAAAAAAAAAGACTGGTCATCGCCAACCACATTTCCGCCCACCGCCCGCCTCAAGCAGCCCACCGACTTTCCGTTCCCTATCCCGCTTCGGTGTATACCGAGGGTGGCCTACTCACCCCTCGCGAGGCGTGACCCGCCGACCGTTTCCCCTTCTCTTTGATATACAGGCACGAGCCACGAACCCGACACTTGACAAACATCGTCGTTGCTGTCGACCGCCAAGATGAAGGGCCGCGCCGTCGACCAGCTCGTTTTCGAGTCCATGTTCTCCAAGTCGAGAGCTGGCGACCCCCCGAATTTCCATGCCTTTCTCCAGCGCACCCTCATTCTCGAGGTTCGCTCCGAAGTCCACGCCTTCTTCGGTCACCTCGACACCCAGGAGGCCAAGTATCCTGGCCTCGACTACTGCAACCCCGTACACCGCATCCGACTGAGCAGGTGGCCCTGGCACCGTCGCCTCTTCCGCGCCTTTGACAGCCTGCGGCTCACGCCCAACGAGATCGCCAACTTGACCAAATGGGAGGGCACAAAATGGGCCAAGGAGCGCTACGAGAAGGAGCAGGGCATCACAATCAGAGACACGGCCGCCGACGAGTTCTCCGAGTGGGTCGAGCCTGAAGACCGTCCTCTGGCTTCCGCCAGCCGCGGCCGCACTGCAGACACGGAGGCAGCATCCGACGATGAGGACATGGAGGGCGAAGACACAGACGAGGAGATGGAGAGCGTGGGCACGGCCCTCAACGAGCGACTCAGGGAGCGCGTCGCCCGCCGCGAGGCAGGCGAGCACGCCACCGTCCTCGACGAGGAGTGGGAGCAGTGGCTCAAGAACGCCATCGAGTCTGGCGAGCTGCCCTTTGTCACGCCACAGACGATGCAGTCCACCAACTCTACCAACACGCCCATCATGCCCACAACCCTCTTCCCGCCTCGCATGCTGAGTGCAGCGAGGGCTGGCCAGTGGAGCGATATTCCCGACTTTCTCCACGACATGATTCAACGGAGCATCAGCGTTGAGACGACCGATCGCGAGGAGCCCCTCATGCCCCCTCTGACGCGCGCCCCTCGGCGTGGGCCGACCGACGAGCGTCGTCATCCCGGTGCGCCCTGGCTGCGACCATACTCCGGCCTGCGCTTGCCGGTTGGCGACGGCGTAACCCAGTCCTCTTCCGATCTCAACGCGCCGGTCGCGGCGGATCCTCCGGGAGCATAGGCTGCTCACCAAATAGCCGTCCAGTCGCTGCAACGCCATGTCGTGCGGCAGTGGGCGGATGAGACCTGGACGGCGCTCTTCGACGGGCGCATGACGCTTGGGGCTTTCCTGGCCGGCGAGTTTTGACCTGTGTGCGGTTCGGAAGTTGTCCTCGTATACGCGGAGTGATCCCGCCCTCTTCTGACGTGTCTCTTCTTCGTTTTCTGCTTTTTTTCTTCTTCTTCTTGGACATGCATAATACACTTTCTGGACGGCTGCATGGGATGGTTTCGCGTTCGTGGGCGTTCTGCGGGAGACAGCCACGGCTGCTCCCCTGGCGTTATGGGCTTTTTCCGTTATCTTGGTTTTTCTCCCTTCCTTTATTGAGGCAATCGGAAGACGAGGGGGGGCCGGGTCAGTCAAACAGGACAAGTCAGAGCCAGGCCCGAAACATGACATGACCTGTCCCTCAGGAGTGCGTCACGTAGGTAGCACATTTTGATTTGGATGACCTCGAAGAAAAAAGTCGATCAACTTCCGCAATCTGAACGTTTCCGTGATGGCGGCATACTTGCCGTTCAATCTGTTGGGGGAAAATGTGATCGTTTGATATCATGTTTCATTGCTGGGTATCTACCTATGTCCTCTACCTCGAACCCAGTCCTCGTGCTCCTTTCTCGAAAGGGAGGGAGAGAAATAAATGCAGAATCCTTCAACGCCCCTGACGCCACCCATTTATTTGAAAGAAAAAAAAAACGTGCCTCACGACAATTGCGCCGGGTTGACTGTGATGAACGAGAGCTCGGGCCCCGCCTCGGCGAAGCACCTCTCCGAGGAGAAGCTCCCTGACGACGCGCCGGTCACTGTCGTGAACGACAGATCCATGCAGTCGCTGTGCGATGCCTCCGTGGCTGTCGTAGCGGACGCCTCCGACGCCACGAGCGAAGCGCTCCGCCTCGTGCGTGTCTTGCCCCGTTTGGCGGTTCCCGCCTGGCTCCCGCGTGATGAGCGGACGGTCTGGGCCTGACGGTCATGGTCGGGCGGCGACACGAGGGCGCGCCGGCGTCGCCCGCTGCCGCCGCCGCCGCGCCGGGGCCGACCGCGTCCCCTGCCGCGTGCGCCGGTCCGCGTGATGGCGACGGAGCCCTCCTACGGCTCGAGGTGCGACCACTCGGGGATGGCCTTGATCTGGGCCCACATGAACTTTTCGAGCTTGTTGGCCGACTTGGCGTACGGGGTCGTCTCGTTGTTGTACTTGCGGCAGTTGTCAAAGACGAGCTTGGCGTCGCGGGTAAAGTCCTCGGGCGTGGCGTACTGGTCGGCCTCGAGCTTGACCTCCATGGTGCTGAGGTCCATGGGCTCCTTGATGACGTCGTAGTAGTCGGCGACGTCGTCCTTGTTGACGGGGATGAGGAACGGCCAGGCCGAGGCGTGGTTCTGCATGTCGTTGAGCAGGTGGAGGAGCTGGTTGTAGTTGGGCCCGTGGCGGGGCTGGCGCGCGAGCTCGTCCATGGCCGGCGACCAGCCCGAGGCGCGGATGGCGGGCACCGCCGTCAGGGCGTCGATGGGCTTGACGCCGTTCTTCCACTCCTTGGGCGGCGCGTGCACAATGTGCGACTTGGAAAAGGCCCGGATCTTGGCCTGCACGCACTCCTTCTGCTTGAGCAGCATGCGGCCCATCTCGAGGTAGCGGATGCGCGGCAGCATCGAGCACTGCATGATCGTGCCGCCTTCGTAGTCCTTGATGTAGCCCATCCACACGGACCGCGGCAGCGTGATCTCCTTGGTGAACCCCTGCTTCTTGAAGTAGCCAATGGCGTAGTTGTCGGCATAGGTGAGGAAGTGCATGACGTCGCTCGTCGCCTTGACGTAGTCCTTGAGGTGCGACATGAGATGGGCGCCGTAGCCCTTGACCTGCTGGTCGCTAGATATGGCGCAGAAGACAATCTCGGCAAACTGTCGGCCCTTGAAGGGGCGGTAGGTAATACCTCCCACGACTTCGAGGGGCTTCTTCACAATGGCGATCGACAGGTGCGTGCGGTCGTAGACGAGGCGGGCAATGTAATCCTTGGGCATCTTCGGGAGCTGTTTCTGGAAGATGCATTTGAGACCAGTGAGGATGATGAGGGACTCGCGCTCGTTATCGTTGTTGACAACACGAAACTCTATCTCGTTGTTGCGCTCTTCGATGACGGCGGGCTGGAGGGGAACGAGAGCTCGTCAGCATGGTGATGTTGCGTCGATGGCCAATGCAGCAGAGCGATGCACGTACCTTTTCGGGAAATGGAATAGGCTTCATGGCCACTTTGGGCTCGGGTTCAGGTTCGGCGGATTCATCGTGCTTGATGCGCTTCGAGGCCGCTGGCGAGGAGGGGTCCTCGGAGGCCTTGCGCTTGTTGTCTGTCAACGGGCACGAGTCAGCAAGGGGACGCAAGGCTACCAAGAGGTGCAAGGCACAAAGATAGGCGCGTAGACTTACTCTCCTCCTTCATTGTGGCGGCATCGGCCGACTGGCGTAATTTGTCGATGCGACAAGCGATACTCAGGCCGCCGTCGATGGACTCTCTGTCGCACTTGTGATGATGGTGGCTCGAACGACGTTGATGGGACGCGCTTGTCAGGGGCCGAGAATATGCCGACGCGGCGATCTATGATGCACGGACGGCTTTGTTGAGTGATAACGACCAATCAGCTTGAGTAACCAGAAGCTCTGAATGCCAAAAGATTTGTTTTCCAGCTCAAGAAGGTTACTAACGCAATAGCAGAAGGAAGACAATTCAGAATCTTGAAGTGATCTTTAATTCAGCATTGTAAAGTTCATGAGTAGCAATCTGCAAAATGTTTCGACGCCGGCAGGATTCGAACCTGCGCCCCCGAAAGGATAAGATTTCGAGTCTTACGTGTTAACCACTCCACCACAGCGCCTCAGATGATCTCTCACTTCCTACAGCTATACTAATTGGCAAGCTCAGCATCACTTACACCTCACCAGCGTTTTCGAAGGCTCCCGCGAGAGAAAGCTAATCAATAGAATGATGAATAGAACTTGGAGCACCGAGACAATTTTTCTTCCTGTCAGAACCTAGAGTCGTGACTAGTGGCAATACAAAGTCCTTTATTCTTTGGGTACCCAAGGAGGTACTGGCCGGTATGTAGCAACTACCTCGATTTTTACGTTACTAGGTGATCAAAAACAAGGCTATTACGTTGATCAGTGCTTGTGTCGAGCAAGTGAGTCATTCTGAAAGACTGCTTTCTCGCTGCTCAGAGTACAGGCTGTCAGTACAATGCTACCATTGCTGACCTGTGAATAGTTATGTTGAAGTACAACTCGTGCTTAGACTGCACTGGTGATGTCGCGCTCTTGTATTGAGGTGATACACGCCAGCACACACAGAAAACCAAATCATGTAGCTCATTTTGCTCACCTTTTAACAATCAACATATTTTGGTGCACTCTTAAATCAATGCACCTGATCAACATCTCTCAACCTCCATCTTCTATACAGTCGACATTGACGCACAGGCCAAGTCATGCGAGACACTGCCGCCGCAAGCCTTCACCACCAAGAGGTAGACCCGAAGACCTCCCGTCTCATTTGAGACGACCAAGTTGGCCCAGCCTCCATTATTTCCTCCGCTCCATCCGCCTCCACGCAACCACAGCGGCTATGATCTCGTGCTTCTCAGCAGACTCTCAAGCGCTACCGTCATCAGACCCTTGCTCCGGCCAGCATTTCAATCAAGGCGCTGTGGTGGAGTGGTTAACACGTAAGACTCGAAATCTTATCCTTTCGGGGGCGCAGGTTCGAATCCTGCCGGCGTCGAAATCTTTTGTCACTGTCACCCATGTGCATGAGATCGCATTGCATTATTTTGTTCCAGTCGATCGCAGTGTTCGGCCGGCTGTCAAGCAATAGATTCCATGTCAGAGGGGTTGCCAGTCGAGCGCTTGCTGTTGCTCCGATGCGCATTGTCGAGGAGATTACATCTTGGAGTTCCCCGATCATGGAGGACTTGTTGTCCAGACTCCTGAATATCAAAGGAGCTCATCCCTCAAGCAGGCTTCTCCGACTAGACGGTCGATGGGTGTTGCTTCTGCGTCCCTGATGGGTGTCGTTTGTACCAGCACCGCTAGCGTCGAAATGAAAGCTCCCGTCCCTATGATTCTTTCCATGTTGAAGACAGTCTGCCGTAGTTCGAAACATCCAGCTTCGACCACAGACAGGCTCGAGATTTATCAACATAGGGGCGTTGGATTGTGTCGACCTTGTGCTCATGGCACTGCAAATGCGGCCTTTGCTTTGGAGATCCGCTATTCCTGTTACCAGCCGGCCCATTGCCATACGTACCCACATTGCTCTTGCACGACCTGAGTCCGTCTCGTTCACCTTGATTCCGACTTGGCCGCTACGTATGTGAGTGGTTTCAACAGACAACAGAGCGCAAGATAACAAAATCTAAGCAGAAAAGAAAAAAGACAGTACTTGAGGCTTGCACTATCCATGACTGTAGGTAACAGGAGGGCACATTTGTCATGAATGGACCATCTGAGGTCTGTATATGCACGGACCAACCTTAACACGTGATGTTCAATTGGAAGGACAGCTTGGAGCTTCTGTGAGCTTCAACCACGTAACCTGTTGATGATCACAGACCAGAAAGCCACGCCAACCGACAACGCCAGAATTCTCCACGAAGAAACTCAAGCTGAGAACCATCAGCTACCATCCAATTGCGATACCTCGACTCATGGACTCTTCGCTCCCCCAAGTTTGGCAGGCTGCCGGCGTCAACGGCGCCTTCCTCCCCGCCATCGGAAAGAACTCCCAGTTCTACGTCGCCTTTGCACTTCTGTTGACGGGGCTCTCTTTGACTGGTGCCTTCGCCCTGAGTATGTCCTGATGGTCTCTACAAAGCTGGAACTTTCCTCTGATCATTCCATGTTAGACCGCTCCTTTATCAACATCCCCGCCTTGGGATTCCCGGCCTCAGCTGCCATTGCGTACGTGCTCCCTCTCGTGTACTGCCCCGATGGAACCAATATCCTGACCAAATCTCAGCTTCGGAACAGTCTACATGTTCTGCGCGGTCGGAGTTTACGTCTGAGATACCCCAAAGAAACACCCCACTTTCCTAGCCTCTTCTAAGGCACCGACATCGCCTACCTTGTACTCTAGATACCACATTCGCGCGAGGCCTTTTCCGCCCCGAACTTCAATTCCACCACTTGATCCTCCAACCCTATATCCTCCTGCCTGTCATGGCCAATAATCTTGTGGCGCCCGTAGCGGGGCAGCCGCTCTTCAGAGCTGTAGCCAGCTCGACCCGACCCCTGTACCAACTGCTTCGATGCGTCAACTTCACCAAACAAATACACGTTCTTGTGACCGAAGAGGGCATTCGCTTCTCTGCCGACCTCACCCGAGTCATGCAGGGTAAGTAAAGTCGTCCGTTTGCGGCTCATCGCTTAGTTCTCACGGTGGACCAGGTACCGCCTCTCTTGACAAGAAACTCTTTACGACATATAGCCTGAACATTCCCCAGTCGGATGGCGACTCGCAGCCCGAACTCCCCAGTTTTCAGATCCAATTGCCTGCCCTACTCGAGACGCTGCAGATCTTCGGTGCCGTGGACAGTGCGACCCGAACCCAAAAGGCAGAGCAGGACCCATACCGAAGTAACCTCCGCAACTACCGGCCAGAGGCGTTTAGCAACCAGACTCTCGGCATCGGCGGAACATGTTGTCTGCAGCTGGAGGAAGAAGGTGGCCCTCTGAGTATCATCATTGAAGAGGCGGGCGTCAAAACCGTTGCCAACCTGACGACATATGTACCCGAAATCCCGGAGGACATACCGTTTAACCGTGACGAGCTTGCGTACAAAATCATCATGCAGTCGCGCTACCTCCTCGACGGCTTGGCGGAGCTGTCGCCCAACGGCCCCAAGCGCCTCACCATCACAACGTCCAAGAACCAACCATACTTGACGCTTGCCGGAACCGGCGATCTTGGCTCCTCGGTCGTCGACTTTGCCAAGGGACGCGAGCTGCTCGAAACCTTTGCGGTACAGGAACGCTGGGCCCAGACGTATAAGTTTGATCTCATCAAGTCGTCCACAGAGGCCATGCGCATCGCCAGCAAGATCAGCCTGCGGGGTGATCGTCAGGGCGTGCTCAGCCTGCAGTTCATGGTTGAGGTGGAGGGTGGTGGGGTCAGCTTCCTGGACTTTCGCTTCGTCCCGTTTATCTCTCACGAGGATGGCGAAGACGACAGTGGAGACGAACAGGACGACTGATGCAAACGGAAGGACACAACGGCCCTAACAGCATGAGCCTCTAACAGCACCCACCCTCCCTTTGTAAAGGATGCAATGTCTCAGTCTGGTCGGAATCGACGGAATCAAGGCTTGGCTGTGGGAGGGTCAGAAGAATCCATGTTATTGCGAACCCATAGTTCATAGTCAATGGAATGCAAAAGGGTACGGCCAAATCATAATTTCTCGATCGCGTGGTGCGTGCCACATGTTTACTTCTTGGCGGGCTGAAATGGGCTGAATATTGGCCCTTGCTGCTCCCTAGCCGTCCCAGTGTTCTGGCTCTGCCCGTGCGGGTGCCTTTTTGCTTCAGCTCTTCTCCCCTGGCCCTCTCTACCGACGCCTGGCCCGACGCCTCGTCGTCGACTTCGGCAACTCCACGTCCAATGAGTGGTTGCTGACCGATCTATTCGATGCACATCGTCTACCTCAGCCGCAGTTCGACGATTTGGGCCCCCCCGGCCAGGGCCTCTTCCTCCGCTAATCGCAAGGCTAGGCAGGGGCTCGAGGGCTCTCATGCCGTCGCTGGGGGGTCTACCGTGCGTCGGGGTGGGGTCTGTCATCGTACCATGTACGTGAGGTCCATCGACTCGCTCGCTGGCGAAGACAGCCGCACGAAGACTAGCCCGTTTGCAGCACAGAGAGGATGCAGTCTCTCAGTAGATCCACGTGGAAAGCGTGATGGCCTGACAACCCCCCCCCCTCCCTCCACACACACAGCGCGTATGTGTTTTTTTCTTATGTATTTGTAGCGCATCAATGGTGTGGGATTTACATGCCAGCTGTTTGCGGAAGGGATGCCAGATTCGCGTGGCTTAGTGACTAGTGAGGGAGGGAGCGGGCAAACATACCTACTAGACAGGGGGGCACGTCTCCTCTGTTCGACATCAAGGGCGGGTTGGCGAGCTGGTATTAGTAGGAAGGCCATGCCGCCGTCTTGTTGGGAGCGGGAGTCTTGTCGATTCCAGCCCTCAGTTTCCACCTGATTCGGAACAGCAATCGCAACACTCGGAAAAGAAGAAGTGACAAACAAGAGCACTGTTTGTCCCATGTGCATTCATCATTCTTCACCCAAACCGCAACAAGCCAACGCCTCCACCCATCACCAACACGCCACCATGTCGGCATCCGCCATCACCATTGCGGCGGCCCCGCGCCCGTGGTCTCTCAAGGCCGCCGTCAACCGGTTCCGCTCAAGTGTGTTCCATGTTGGACGGCAGGAGGCTGTGCCCCTGACGCAGGAGACCAAGTACCAAGCCTACGTGCCGACGCACGCGAGAACAGACTTTCTGAGGACCGCGACGCCGAGGCATATGCGCAAGGCCAACGAAATTCTCTGAAGCCCTCATGGTTCGACACAAACTGGCAAGCGTGGCGCTACCACGCACCCCAATGTATTCATCAACGTCGCCGCGCGCCCAAAACCCAAGTGCGCGAGCGGGATCACCCGAGCAAACAAAAAATGGCCCACACACGAAACGGCTCTTTTACTGCTATCTAATCGCGATGGCACTCTGCTGCCTCGCCTCCGCGGTCGACGTGCGAAAACGTCTCCAAGCCGGCTGACACGGCTTGGGAATGGACGTTGAAGAAAGCACTCTTGACAAGCCGGGCGGCAGGTCTGCTCGGCCAGTCTGGGGAGGAGAACGGACCCCACGAAGTCCTTCTTGGCGAAGTGGTCGGTGGTGATCAGCGGGTCCGCCGGGACCCTCCCCTCCATACAAACATACATGTGACTGGCGCTTAGCGCTTGCGATACATGAAGATACCCTGGCGAGATAATCGCCTCGCCCCCAAAGCAGGGGTTGTCACCTATTCGCAAAGGATAGATGATGAGGTTGAGGCGTACTGGGGTCTGAATGACGAGTCTCGTGGCGGTGAGATTGGGCGGGCAGATGGCGAAGCGAGCTGAAGCTGCCGAGGATGCGGAACCAGAAAGGGGAAAAATGATACCAACGGGAGGGCCAAACTGCCCCAACAATCAAATCTACTTTGTCACCTACTTTGTTGAAATTCCGCATGATGCGTCTGCCTGTAGTCGAGACTGTTCCGGTTGGGTATTGCCGGTGCCATTTGGTGTCAACAGGAAACGAACGACTGAACCCGCTGACGAAGTAATAAAGGATCTGCCAGGGGGGACCATTGTGGGTTTGGGTAGGGGCCAGCTGCCTGGGACGCCATGAGAAGATGACTCGGGTCAGGGTATGGTAACAATGACGTGAGAAGATGATTTGCATCGTCGGTTGCGAGCAAGCCGATCTTGAATAGAACGGAAGGATCACACAGCCTCAGCCGAGTGAAAGGCCAAAGGCCCATGTCAGAAATCAGCACGTAGGTGGATAAATCTGGGGTCGCATGCAGCTTGGCTGCGCATATGCAGACTGCGGCAGTCTCCCCTCTCGACTAGCGGCACAGGGTGTCTAAACCCCGCGGGCTCAGGCGCTGGAGGGTGGTGTTTGTGTGGTGATGATGTGAGGGTGCAGTCGCTGGGGATTCAGGCCTCTCGCGACGGGGTCATGTTACGAATGTTCTATTCGAAAGAGGGCGATGATGAGAAAGAGATGCAGGAGATGTGAGAGTGAGTTGATGGTTGGTACCTGCCTGTTCCTATCCGATCTGCTCAAGGCAAGAGCAATCCAAGTCCACCGTGTCTATGCCCCCATCACATTCACTGTAGGGCTCATCGTCGTCGCCTAGGCTGCCTCAACATCAACACGACCACATGCCTGTCCCCTCCCTCTGCTGATCTGCCACGCTGTCAACTCAAGCCTCGCACCTCAATACAGCCCGCATGCAGCGTTGGCAAGCCGCCAGTTCCCGGTGGTCGGATCAGATCCCGGTTCGCAGAGCCAGAATGGCATCTGTTTGTCGGCAACGTACAGACTTTGAAGCAAGGATGCCGACTTGACTCGCTGACCGTGTCATTCCACGCCTTACACGGCAGACGAGGCACCATCGGCTTCCAGATCTGTGCCCAGAAACTTCAGATGACGATTCCGAGCCCTTGTATCTGACATGATGGCACCTACACGATGTTTGTACTGCCTTCGGTCCATGAATCCAAATTGCCATGCCGCTTCTCTTCTCGCCAGGCCGAAGCCCACAGTCGAGTCGCAATGCACTGTCCAGCAACTTGCTCAAGGTGGCCCAAGGAAATCTCTCATCCGGAGCGTCGGAAGCTTGCCCACGCATTTCACTGGATGCTTCTGTCTGCACGTCGCCGTGCCCTGGTCGCACAGTAGCCGAACAGCTCCAGTCCTCCGAGTCGCCTCTGACGATCAAATGCAACTGGCCGAACTGTCTCTCATTGCGTATCACCCCATCATCTGGACCTATCCTTGGATGACCAGCTTGGCATGCTTGTCCCCCCGTGGTCGACTCCATTGAAGCAAGGTAACTTCATTTCATCAGACGGAAATGGCTGCAGCATTCAAGTGAGTCTGAACTCAGCGACGGCGACTTCTGGGCCTCGAGGGCTCAATGTTATTGTCAGTCTCTTTGTCTCTTTCGAAGCCTTTTCCGCGTGTTCAACAAGCTAAGCAGGCTTTGCTGCATTGCTTGTTCTGCTGCCTTGTGCTATAAGTGTCGACGTTTGCGGCACATGCAATACTACCCACCCTGGTGCCATTTGCCGTTCCCGCCCCCCCTCAAGTCAACAAGGGGAGAAACAAACGACTAGTTATAGTAACCACCGATATGGGGGCGGCCAATCACTACAAACTTTCTCGGAACCCGACACCCCTTCAGAAAGACAGGAATGAATTCTTTGAGGACGGGCATCACACCACTCCAACAACTTCCGCCGCAACCAACTAGTGAAGCCTGCGCAACATGCAGGGTAGGCACTGCACCGCCGCACCACCTCAAGCCGATGACCACTGTCCCCAGCTTTGATCTTTCACGGCCGGCTCTTCCTGCTCTATACTAGACTTCTTCAGCACAGTGGTCGCCCCCCCCCTCCCCCCCCCGGGCTGGGCAAACATGGACTGGGCAAGTCGCTTGTTGGTGCCCTTCTTGTCCTACCATGTGGGCGATGGGTCACGTACCTTGGGCTGATATCTCATTCCTCCTCACCCTGGCCTTTCGGCATCCCGCCCGCCTCCCCCCTTGTCCTCACAGTACCCAAGCTCCTCGCTTTGTCTGGGCTGCCCGCAGTCCCGCCTTCTGAACCCCCAACATGGCACTTTGTCTGTCTAAATACCACATATATGCCGTGTTGTACCCGTCCCGCCTCCGGACCTCCTTCCCCAGTCCATGTAATCCTTGAAGAAACCATGCCTACCGAAACCTCCAAGATGTTGTCTCGCTCCAGCTTCAGCATACGGAGGCTCCTCTCGCAAAATCGACCAGATTCCCCAAGTGATTCTGATGAGCTTGACGAACACGACGAAATTACTCAGTTGAAGCTTGACCAGCACAGGCACTCGGCGCGGCCTGCCATGTACCAAACGAAGCCGGTCGAGTCCCCTCTGATATACAGATCACAGAGCGTCCACCAGGTCATGAGGCCTCTTCCTCCTTTGCCCTTTGACTCCCCGCGTTCGTCCAGCAGCTCTGTATACAGCTTCGATAACCACTACACGGAACCGAGTGTCAAAGGCAACTCCCATGATGCGAACTTTTGTTCATCACAGAGAGACATTGATCCCCTCTATATACAATCAACACCCAAACGCCTCTCAGAGCGCAGGCATCTCATGATCACGCCGCTACAAAATATATCGCCTCTGAAATCAGCCATCGAACCTACGCATCATCACCACATCGCTGTTGATAGGGACAACGACACGGCCGCAGAGCCCACTATGGCGCTCAAGGAAGCAGTGGTAGAGAGCCAAGAAGAGGCGGAGGTCGACGACTGGTCCGAGACGGTTCAGCAGCTCATCAAAGAAACAGACGAAGCCTTCCACGCGGTTGGCGCAGCGCTTGCTCAGGTGCAGCTCACCCCACAAGTCTTCGTCACCTCCACAGAGCCGGACGTTGCCTTGTCCCCACCGCTGCCGAGTACTCCAGGTACCCCCTGGCGCACGCCGGCACGCCTTACACTCAAAAGGCAGCCAACAAAGTGCATGACACCTCCCGTTGTGCCGGCGCGGAGGGCATCCGTGTACAAACCGAAGCGGACCAAGTCAAAAAAGTCCAAGACTGCGAGAAGGCCAACAACATCTTCGAAGCGGACGCCGCGGTGGGCTTTCGGCGAAAGTGTGACGGACATGCTCAAAGCACAATTCTTCCGAAAGATCGAGGCGAACGAGATGCTGGCGCCGGACCGCCTCCAGGTTGCGAGACTCAGCAGAGATTACCAGCTACGCCAGACGCGCTCTTCCGAGACCCTGTTCACCGAGGACAGCGAAACCCCGGTAGAACCGTTTCATCTGCAAGATCTACCTTCTCGGATCGGGGCGGCCGGGGTTCAGACATCGGTCGCACCAAGTGGTGCTGTATCACGACCAATTCCATTTGAAATGCCTGTGCGACGAGACTTTTCTGTCGCGAGGAGAACATCGAGGACATGTGCAAAGGCGGATGCCAAAGCCGAAAATCAGATGATGTTCAAGACGCTCACATTTCCCTGCCCGCCCGCCAAGAACACGCCTCGCCACCCTTCCAGGACAGCGCAGCAGAGCCGGCCCCTGTCTACTATACCCGAGCTTCTCGTCACCGTCCCGACTCCTGACAAAGACGACAACATGCCTGCGGCAGAGGTGAGGGTTTTTCATCGGGGCCGGACATTTGCCCCTGTCCACGACGAAGATTTCGTGTTCTTTGCCTCAACTCCCTGCACTCTAACGGTGCCTGGATTCCGCCATGGACGCATCCGATTCCCCAAGGCCGAGGTGGTCAAGGGTAGGAAGATTGCCGCCGATGACACGCTTGACTGGACGGCCTTTCAGATGGCCATCTTGGGCGGCGCTGGCGACTTTTTCTCGGACCCCTCGGATTTCGCGCCGCGGACCGAGGCGGACGAGATTGACGAGCTCGCGGATTGGTTCGCCGACTTTGGCTTTGAAAACCACGGCCTCTTGATCTCCTCACGTCGCCACAGCGATAAGACGCTGAGCATGACGACGGCAGAGACGATTTCACCGACGGCCTCTACGTTCACGGATTCGACAGACGCCGATCTGCCTATTCCCGTGGCGCCAGAGTATCCCACGGGGTTTTGGAACGCAGGCCATGTTGACGCGTCTAAGTTTCTGCAGGACCAAGGCCACTGCAATATCAAACGGTGGACCATGGACGGGCCACAGAAGCGGTACAAGAAGGATAGTCAGGGGAGCATCGATAGTCTGCGGCAAAGCCCCGAGCTGGATGTCGTGTACCTAGGTGGGGCTCACGGCGAAAGGGACGCCGTGCCAATGGGCTTCAACCTTTTTCATGATTTGGGGGAGTTTCTCAGGTGGGAGGCGGAGAATTCGTACGCCTCGCCGGCATGGGGGCGAGGGTAGGGGACATGTCCGAAGAAGGGCAGCGGCATGACGCAGAACTATTTCCATGTTGGCGTAGGCGTTTCGAAGAGCACGTCAGACAGTAGACTCAGGTATCCCATTCCAGGGGGGGGGGGGGGAAGTAATCAGTGGAATTTTCAATGCTGTCGAAGGAGAACCAGGGTGATCACGAGACGCAGTGAAGAGAAGAGGTTCGACATGGAGGTTGATGAGCAGTGGAGTGAGTGTAGTCGGTGTCAGGGGCCCCCTGAAGCCCCCGGAAGGCCCCTGAAGGCCCCGAGGCTGAAGGATGCAAAGCCCCACAGCACAAGCCACAGCGTGCATTCAGCCCGACGCGGACCCCACGCGGCCGAACCCCCACCGTCACGTCACGTCCCTGTCGTCACTAGTCGCGTTTGTATCGGGAGCGCCAACCGCAACTGCAACAGTACAAGGATTCCATGCGCATGGCCCCCCGAAACCCAATTCACAACAGCCCTTCCACACCCGAAAATCACCAGCTGTATGGTCCGCTGAAGATTCGTCCCTCGCACAAGAAGTGCCAACCACTGGGCCCCCTCCCTCTTGGGCTTGAGCCCTTGCCACGCGAAAGACCAGAACCAGGTTCACCACCGAGCTGCCTCGCCTCGCCTTCTCGCCTCGCCTTATCCCGTCCCGAAGATCCAGCAGCCCAACACCTGCATGTCCGCGTATCGCGTACACCCCTCTCGCTCTCCAGCTTGCTCGGCAAGCCCCTTTCCCACCCCCCCCAAACGAGCCGACAGTCCGCGACCATGCTCCGCCGGCCCGCCACGACCCTGACCATCACGTCCGAAGACGTCGCCGCCTACGAAGATCGGCGCATCCGCGAGCACGACGCCGCCGAGGCCCGCCGCGTCGCGGCCCTCAACAAGGCGCACTACCAGCGACAGCAGGCGCAGCTCCAGGCGCAGGCGCAAGCCGAGGCCCACGCACAAGCACAGGCACAGGCACAGGCACAAGCGCAAGCGCAATACCAGCAGAGCCCGTACGAGCCGCAGACGCAGTCGCCGTATGCGCCCCAGACGGAGAGCCCGTTTCCAGATCGACATCATCATCATCATCACCAGCAGCAGCAGCAGCAGCAGAGACAAATGATGCCGCCGCCGCCGCAGCCGCGGTTCGAGGAGAGCTATACGGAGCAGGACACGGAGATGCTTGTCGGGTCGAGCGAGGACGACGACGAGGGGGACGCGGGCGATCTGGCGGGCGCTGACGGCAGCGTTCGGGGCCGTGGGCTGCGGGGTGCTGGAGGACGGGGGCGCGGGGCGGGCGTCATGCTCACGCCGACGCCGGGGCCTGAGGGTATGGCGAGGGGGGGCCGGACGCGGGAAGAGAGGATCGGGCTCGGGCGGCGGGGGCGGTGAACCGCCGGCGTTCCCTCGCCGAAAAGATCTTGTATATGAATGTCATGAATGGATGTCTTTTGGTTGGATCCGTGAACGGCGAGCCACGTCCTGCTCATGTGCTGGACTTGCTATGTGCGGCACGGAGCTGGGAAGCCTGGCAGATCCCGGGTCGGGCTGTTGTGCTCCACGGCGTCCTGCCATGCCGTGCGCAGCTTCGCCGTTGAGAGGCGCCTTTCTTTCTTCGAGAGCATCCTGCCTGGCCACCCATCCACGAGGCAACAGCCCCCAGACCCTTATAGTCGCGTCAGTGCCCCCGTCTCCCCAACAACCACCATACCGTGACGCATGGTGTGGTGGTTCAGAGGCCCGCTTAATAAATACCCGTACACATGCCTCTAGATGTGAGGGCGCGCAAGCTAAAAAGGCGCGTGGAGAGATCACCCGTTCGACACGGGGCGCTGCGAAAAGAGAAATCTTTTTTTTGGCCGCTTTTTGAGTCTTTCATCTGCTAGTACTTCCTCCAATTCACCTTGGGCGGCTGCTCTGAAGATCTTGCTACGTGTTCCGACTTGAGTTCTGCTTCTAATCGGTTGCATGATGCATGTGGGCATATACAAGGCTTTTTAACTTGGATGATTGAGCACCCGGCGCATCCTGCTGATAATGGTTCCCAAAAAGTGACATTCGTTGAACAAGAACGCTACGTAGCTCATCATAAAACCCGAACCATTTGGGTTTTCTCCTGATCATCACAACCCCATGACGGCCATCATCATCATCATCACGTAATATCACCAACGGTCTCGTCACCGCTACCAGTGGTAGCCCGTCCCTCTGTCCCTCTCAATATCATCCGATGGGCTTGAAACCCTCATCTGCTCGCGGTCAGCAAAAATCGAAAGAAGAGGCAATAGGGGGAAAGCACTCACCTCCAGAAATGTCCTCGCCTGCGTGATGCCCGCCACGTCAGCCAGATAGCGCAACCTCCCTTGCAGGAAGCGTCTCTCGCCATCCTTGGCAAAGTCGCTCACGCTCGCCGCGAATAGCGGCCACAGCACAATCTGCCCGGCGACTCGCTTCAGCGGATCCCCGGCCCTGGCCTCAGCGCCACAGGCAAAGTTCGCCCGCGTGTGGTCCCGTCCGTTCCAGCGGCAAAAGTACGGCGCCAGCGCCACGAGGTCGGCGACGCGGCGGCCGGCCGTTGCCGCCATGTCAGGGTACTCGTCGCCGGCGCGCCAATCGGCGTCAGGACCGGCGAGCCAGGCGGCGCAGCGGAGGACGGACGTCGTCAGCATGAGGTGGCTGACAAAGGTCATGAGATGGATAACGCCCATGGCCATGGTCTCGAAACCGTAGACGGGCCCCGGGGCCGTGGCGCATGTGTCGAGGTCGGCGTCCGGGCGCGATGAGACCCACTCGACGACGGGGCTCGCCCACTGCGGTGGGACGTGGGTGTCGTTGAGGCGGCGGTAGCGGGCCTCGAGGGCGCGCGCGCTTTGCAGTATGGCGAGAACCCTTTGGGCAGTGCGGGGGTGGCGATTGCCGTGGCCTGCGTCGCGTGCCTTGCGGAAGACGCGATCAACGTCCTGCCGAATGGCCGAGTTGGCAATGTTGAGGGCGGCAATGTCTTTCTCGCGTGCGCAGGTGTGACGCAGAAGCCAGGTGAACTCGGAGACTTCGGGGGCGCAGGGCAGACAGGAGAAGCCGAGGACGTGGTTGCGTGTCGTTGTGAACATGGCTTCGCCTTCCTGCGTCGCGAGGCCTTGTTCGCCGCGGAGCTTCACCATCATGGCCGCGCCCTTCATGTGGTTGATGTACTCCTTGATGGAGCCTTGTGAGGACGTGACCAGTGTCTGTTGGTCCCTGTCAGTTCTGACGACGTGCAAGACGGGCTAGCCTTGTGTTCCGTCACCTACCTCGTACAATGCGAGCAGCAATACGGCGGCCAGCGTCTCATCGCTTTTGGCGAGGGTCGGATCCTGGATGGCTTGGTTCATGGCGCGTACTGCGTCCAGGTAGTGGCGTTGCGCCGCGCTGAGGGCACTGCCGATGACAGGCTTGCCATGTTGGGTGGCGATGGAGGCAAGAGACGTAGCTCTGAAGGCGGACAGGAAGACTTTTGCAGGCTGGGTTTTGCTCATGAACTTGGGGACCCAGGGGAAATAGCCGCGGACGGGGAGATTTCCCTCTCTCATGGGGATGAGGACGAATTCGGACAGGAAGTAGGACGTGGCGCGGTCTTCCAGGTGATTGATGATGGAAAAGGGGATGTATTGATCGTCTCTGCCATGATCACCATGGCTGCTTGCGCTGCTGGTAGAACTGGTGCTTATCAGGCTGTCCAGACTGCTGTTGCTGCTGCTGCTGTTGTTGCTCCCGTTCCGGCGATGCAACACGGTCATTGCTGACGTTGCCGTTGCCTGCTTGTAAGTCGTGAATGGCGTCTGGAGGCACTCGGCGAAAGGTGCCTGGGGTAGACTGATGCGATTCTCGGCCCCTGTGGTGTCGCCACGCATCTTTCGGAATCGCCTGATGGTTGCCTGTGTCTGGTCACGGATTTTGGCTTCGAAAGGGTCAGAATAGCCTGGACAGTCTCGTTTGGCCTTTTTACACTTCATGCAGAAGGGCTTGATCTCGTCACACTTGATGCGCCTCAACTTGCACAGCTTGCAGCCGCCAGAAGGCTTTCCCGTGTTGACCATGGTGACGTCGTTCGAGATGTGTATGTTTTTTGGGGTTCGGAAAGTATCCAGGCTGGCAAAAGATGAGAAGAGATAGATAGATGAGCCAAATCGTTGGCCGGGGTTTCTACGAACGAGGGATCAGGGAGAGAAAGAGGGACGTCGGGTTGGTTGAAGTATGGACTTTTCGATCAAGTAGGAAGGAGGCATGACAATCCCGCTGACAGAGCCAGTCGAGTGACAAATGAATCATCCCAAAGATGCAGGAAAGGTGTGTCGAATAATCCGCGTTTCATTCACGGTCAAAGACATTGGCGAGACGTTGTGGCCCAGCAAGGCGAGGGGCACAGAGAGGCCCGAAATGAGATGGTCATGGGCGAAGGGCAACAGGAGCAGAGTCGATGCTTCATCTGAAGTTTTGGGGGGCAAGGCTCGACCCACGTAGACGCGACAAGTCGGCAGCGGCCATCAGTTCATGAAACGTTGAAAGCAAGTGTTTCAAATAGTGAGATCAAGACATGTGGTCAGCCGGGAGACTCCTACACAGTACTGATGGATGATGGACATTGTCCGGCAGACTCATGGGTTTCGACGACGTCTGACAGATGGCTGCTGTCTGATGCCTGACTGTCGGCAGAGCGGAGCTGTCAAGTATGCATCAACGAAAGGAGAGAGTCGATCGAGGTTGCATTCTAGTCCCAAATAGCAGTCCGTGTCTGTCGGCTGGGAATAAGGTTGGCGTGAGCCCCGGCGTGCTGGGTTCTGATGTGTTTGATAATCACGGCTGACACTGGTCGGCAGACGGGGCAACAGGATCTGCCGATGGACCTGAGGGACACGAGGCCCAGCAGCAGTGCAGGAACAGCGCTGCTCATTGCAAAGGGCTGATGGTTGCAAAGCGCTGATGGTTGCATAGCACTGCTGCTGGCAAGGCCATGGACAGGCTTGACTTGGGGGAAGGGAAGGACAAACAACGTGACAACAACGTGACAGCTGGAGCCTGATCTTATCTAATCTCGATCCAACAGTGGGCCCGAAGCCGCGAATTCATCCGTGGCCCCGCTTCCGCTTAATAATGGACCCGATTGGCCAGATACAGCTCTCTCCACCTTCTCCCGAGTGCGAGTGCGACTCCGACTCCGACTGCGACTGCGATTCGACTGCGACACCAAAGGCACCTACAGCTCACACCTACCAGCACAACAAGCTTCGCCTGACGCATTCCAATTTACCAGACAGATGGCTTGTCAAGAAGATCACGCTAGAGGCAGAGACGACCAAACGATTGGACCTTCTGTCGATACCCATGGCACGCTCTCATTGAACATTTCTGCGGTTGCCTTCCTCCCGATCGCGACATGGCTCGCAATTCATCAGCCCTGCCAGCCTGGTGGCCCCCCATGATCTGGTGACCCGGCACCCCGTCGGATCCATCACAGATGCCAGCAAGGCTTTGTCACCTGCACCATATTTGCTGTGAATTTTAGGGCTGGCCGGGCTCAAGTCGTGCCGGTCGACATGCTCCTCCTCCTCGCACCCGGACACGCACCCGGACATGCAGCCAGTGCCCCCCCCCTCCCCCCATCAAGGGATGATGACACCGACAATTGCTGTGCCGCCGTACGGTTCCGGGTCTTTCATTGATTCTTTTGATCCTTTTTGGTGAACCCTTTTTGGTGAACCTGTCTTGATCGTCTTGGATATATAGACGGTATGGCGCAAGCTCGATAGTGCTGCTCAGCTCGGAACCTTTTCTACTTCATCTCGAACTCGGAACCTTTTCCAGTACAGCCGCAAACCCCCTTGATCCCGTCGCAGTGCACCCTGCGTCTTGCTCCGCCCCGCTTCACTGCTTTCCAGCCAAATCAACGATCATGAGCGACACAATCGTGGACAGCTCAGGAGATGCCTCTGAAAAGTCGGCCCTCCAGGAGGAGCCTCCTGTTGAGCCCGTCACCTTCAAGCCGGGCCGCGACTTCTTCCTCGCGTTCGCCGCCCTCTCGATCCTCATGCTCGCCGTCGCGCTCGACGCCACTTCTCTCGGCGTCGCCCTGCCTATCATGAGCACAGAGCTCGGCGGCACAGCTCTTCAGGCCTTTTGGTCTGGTACCAGCTACCTCCTCGCCAGCACGGTTCTCCAGCCCAGCTTTGCCTCGATGAGCGCCATCGTCGGCCGCAAATACGTACGGCGCCACAATGCCACCAACACTGCTGGCGCGCAACCTTGCTGACTGACTGCATCTCCAGGTCGTCTACGTCAGCTGCCTGCTCTTCACCGTTGGCTCCATTGTCTGCGCCGTGGCCCAGAACTTCACCGTCCTCCTCATCGGCCGCAGCATCCAGGGCATCGGGGGCGGCGGCATCATCGCCCTCAGCGAAGTCATCGTCACCGACCTCGTGCCCCTCGCCGTCCGTGGCCAGTGGCTGTCCATCCTCTCGGCCATGTGGGCCATCGGCACCGTCGCCGGGCCCCTCATGGGTGCCGGCTTTGCCCAGCACGCCACATGGCGCTGGATCTTCTGGATCAACCTGCCCCTGATGGCCGTCGGCGTCCTCATGATCTACTTCTTCCTCAATCAGACCGAGCTGCCCGGCAACCTGCGCACCAAGCTTGCGCGCTTTGACTGGTTCGGCAGCTTCCTCTTCACCGCCGGCTCCACCATTCTGCTGTTCGGCATCTCGACCGGCGGCGTCATGTACGACTGGGGCTCCTTCCGCACCCTTCTGCCCCTGATCCTCGGTATCCTCACCCTGCCCGTGTTCGCCTACTGGGAGCTCCACTGGGCCAAAGAGCCCGTCATTGACAGAGGCATCTTCCGAAACTGGACCATGATTGCCAACTACATCATGACCGTCTTTCACGGCATGATCCTTTGGTCGCTCATCTACTTCCTCAGTATGCTCCTCCCCCCCCATTGTCTATTGGCGTTTCCCCCATCTGACCCACGCCCCCAGTTTTGTACTACCAAGGCGTCAAGTTCTACTCCCCCATCATCTCCGCCCTCGCCTGCCTCCCCGAGAGCCTGACCGTCGCCCCCGCCGGCATCGTTGTCGGCGTCATCGCCGCCATCACGGGCCACTACCGATGGTCGCTCTGGACGGGCTGGGCGCTGACGACGCTCGGCGCCGGCCTCCTCTATCTCCTGAACCCCGACACGCCCGTCCGCCACTGGATCCCGCTCAACCTCCCCATCGGCGTCGGCACGGGCATGCTCTTCCCCGCCATGGCCCTCTCCATCCAGGCCGCCTGCGCCCCGCACCTCAACGCCCAGGCCGCCGCCTTCTTCGCCTTCCTGCGCACCTTTGGCCAGTCCGTCGGCGTCGCCGTCGCCGGCGTCATCTTCCAAAACGCCTTTGCCGACGAGCTCGCCGCCACGACCGAGTTCGCCGCCGTCGCCGACCAGTACGCCGACGAGGCCACCATCGTCATCGGCATCATCAACGGCATGGCCCCCGGCCCCGACCGCACCGTCCTCGTCGCCGCCTACGCCGACGCCCTCAAGACCATCTGGCTCAGCCTGCTCGCCTTTGCCGCCTTCTGCCTCGTCCTCAGCGCCTCGGTCAAGAGCTACTCGCTGCAGCAGGCCCACGACCCCAAGCAGGCCCTCGTCACGAAGCAGCGGGACGCCGCCGCAGCCAAGAGGGCGACGGCCGACGTCGAGGCCGCGACGGTCAAGGCGTAGAGGGAGACCTTGGTTGGGTGTGAGGTTTCCGATAGACAGGACTTTTTTTTGGTCTGTTCGACATGGGATGGGCAACTGAGTTTTGCAGCGCTGTAATAATGTACCCGGATGAGAATAGACTAGACATGACTGTTTTTGCATCTACCTCACTCTCCTGTCGCGACCCATCGTGTTCAACCTTGTCATGTCGAGCCCGGGCTGTCCATAAGCACGTAGCCATCAGCCTTTCATGCCCTCTCACAAGAAATGATGAGAAAGTCAGCCCATCGGCTGTCACCCGACGCAGTCCCCAATGCTCCGTCCTCAAATACACACCAACTGCAACGAGTCGTGGTGGTCGTGTGTACAGCGGGGCCCCGACCCGCAGACCGTGCGTGGCCAGCCGGCCGGACGAGACGCGCGGGGGAGGGTCGCTGGCGTGGGTCCGAGGCTTCCATGTGGGCCGAGATGGAGCTGCCCCGAGTTCATACGTCGGGCGCGATTTAGCCAACGTCCATCGAGCCCCGGAAACACCAGACATTCAAAGTCACGGATCATAGGAGGAGAAACAGTCATTGATCATGTCATGTCTCGTAAGGCTATGTATGGTACCAAGTCGCTTCGCTCAGAAGGGGGGAAGAAGTTGCTAAGATCAAAGTGGCATAAGTCGTCTCTCGTGGGAGCGTCATCCGTGGACGCATCACCAGCGGCACCTCAGGCCGGAGGCAGCCGGCTGGCAGCTCAGCTCCAGCCAGGCTCAGCAGGGTATCGTCGTCCCCCAACACCAGTCATTGGGCTCACGGCCCGCTCTCGCTCGTTCCACCTTTTCCTGTCGTCCCTGAAATCGCGGTCGCGAGGGTCCCATAGCTCATCCCGCATGCGATCAACGTCAGCGTGGCTGCTGGTCCGGCGCTGGGCCTCGGGGCGCGGTATGTACCGCGGCGCCCGCTTGCGCATCTCACGCTCGTCTTCCCGCTCGCGTTCGCGCTGCCGTTCCCATTCCTTCTCGCGGCCGCGATCTCTGCCGCGGTCTCGCTCCCGCTCTCTCTCGCGTTCGCGGTCACGGTCAGCCCTCTCGCGGTCGCGTTGATACTCGTCCCGTTCCTTGTCACGATTCTCTCGAAGCCGCTGGCGTCGGCGCCTCTCGACGGCGCTCTCGTCAGAGGCGGCGTCCGACTCATCGGAATCTTTATCAGACCAGCTGCGACTGAGCCTGGACGCCCCGTTGGCGCGCGCCATCTGATCACGCTTCCTACGCGCAGCTAACAGTTCGCGTTCCCTTTCTCGCTCGCGCTCGCGTTCCCGTTCACGCTCGCGGTCTCGTTCACGCTCGCTCCGCCGACCTGAGGTGCTTCGGTGCCGATCGGGCGATCGACTACCCGGCAAGAACGAGGTGACCTTGTCAAACTTGTCCCTGATAACCTCTGGGATGGGTAGCGTGCGCTTGCGCGTCTCATCTGCTCTCGTCTCGGCTCGGTGAGGATGGAGATTTTGTGCTGTCGCAGTGACGGCCGGTGATGGAGGGACCTGTGAGTTCTTGGGAGCCATGCGGCGAATGGTGGGCGGGGGGCGCATCGATTCGTGGCTCTGCGGCCGACGTTTGGTATCCGGGCTCGCGTTCCCGCCATCCGAATCAGACGGCGCATCCGAGCTCGAGTGCTTCGTCTGGCTGTGACGTCGTGGCGGGGCTCCAGGCCTGCCCGGCGGAAAGTTGCTACGAGAATGCACCGGATCATGTGATGGCGAGGGGTAGTCGGAGAAGCTGCGGCGGCGGCTGCGTTCATCGGCCGAGGAGCTTCCCGGTCGATGCCGTTCGTTGAGGGGCGAATGTGGGATAGGAATGCGCTGGCTTGCTGCCCTGCTAGGAACGTGAGAGAAGGGCATGGGCCGGTTGAAGTAGTCGGGCTGGGATGGGCGCATCCTTGGCGAGGGCTCCGGATATGGGTTGCGAAAATGCGCGTAGGCGACCTTGACTTTGGGTTCGTCCCGCTCTGGTCCCGAGGATGAGTGCTCATGATGGGGCTGCTTGGACGCGGCCGGGTCGGATCGAGGCGTGGCGTCTTTCTTCAGTTTCTCGGCGCACGCCTTGTGCCACTTGTCGACCTCGGTGTCGGCTTCGAGTGGGAAGGCTTCCTTGGGCAGCTCGGTTGGAAAGGGCTCGCCCGTTTCGGGGTGCTTCAGCGCCCAGTTTTTGACGACATATTGCATGAAGGGGACGTGCTCTTCAGGCCCGAGCAGGATCTCGATCGACTCCCAGCGCACGAAGCCGCGCGGGGTCAAGGCAGGGACGGACGGAGGTTCGAAGTCGTTGCCGGGAATGGGCTGTAAGGAGTGTTGGCAGCCAGTAACACGCCAGATGTAGGATATGGACTGATGGTCCATGCCGGTAAAGAGGGCTGCGTGACACGATGCAACGGTCAGCAGCGATTCTCGGAATGGGGAAGGGGCATGCGCCAAGTCAGCCTCTTCACTCACAGTCGTAATCGCCGCCGACGGCCCGGTAAAAGGCAGCCAGCTTGGTGGGCGTCAAGAAGTGAATACGCTTGTCGCCGATTTCTGCCATCTGGACAAGGCGGTCAGCAGGCGCCCGTCAGGTAGGTCGCATCAGGTAGCTAGCCAGCGGCGAGAAAGACGACGTACAATGTGTTTTGCGACGGCGCGCAACAAGGCCTCGAGGGTTTTTGTCGGCGTCTTGTCATCCTGAAAGAGGTAGCCCCAGTAGGCGGGAGAGGTCTTGGGCGATTCGGGTCTCGTTGCGTTGGCGTTGTTGGGACTGGCGGACTCTTTCGAGTTGGCCTCTGCGGTGGGTGCCGCCATTCAGGGCGTTGTTGGTCGCGTCGGCATGGATTTCGAAGCTTGCGCAGGTGTCGGTGTTGGGGTGTGTGACCTGTGACGGTGATGTTGCGATGCTGCAGTGAACAGTCGGAAGGAATCGGGGAGGGGGGGGATTGCAGCTCTGGTGGGGGGAGTGGGAAGATGTGGGTTGTTGTCGGTCAACGGCCCGGTCGGTGGTGAATGGTGGTGTAGCACACAATCGCATGCGAGCAGGCGGAGAGTGGGAAAGCAAGAAAGCGTAGGAAGCGAGAGGCAGGGAGAGGGGGCAGCGGTGATGGTGGGATAGCGGGATGGCGGGATGGCGATGGACAGGGGATCGTGGGCGAGGAAACGCGAGGGTGGTATTGACATGGACTGTCGTGAGGAACAAATCCAGGTTATATGTATCGAGCGCGTCAATCAGCCCAGCCAGAGGCAGCAGAGGGTGATCATACGAGGAGTCAAGCGGCGGCAGGCAGCGGCAGAGCATGGGTCCCGTCCAGCTTGCTATCGTTGTCGACGGGAGGGTCAGTCAGGTCCGGTCAGGACGCGGGCAGGGTGCACTCATCGACCGAACGATGGATATGCTGGCTCTGCTGGCGCTGTTGGCTATCCTGGCTGATCGACGGCTGGGCTGACCTTGGCTTGAGATGAAGGGCACCCAAGTTGGCAGGCTTCAGCCAAGCGTCGTGACTCAGATTGCGTAGAGAGAAGTTGGAGTGCCAAATAGGGACGGCGGCCTCGTGGGTGCAGCTGTAGCGGCCCTGGTCATGCAAGCCATGGTGCTCTGTAGTAGGAGGGAGGTCCCAAATGGTGGGATGGCGGGGTGGATGGTTGGATGAAGCCTGTGGTGGGAAGGGGGGGGCGGAGAGGGGGGCAGAGGGCATGACGATTCATCCCAGGTGCCCTGTGTTGCGTACAAGGTGAAGCGGGGCTGACTCCAACGGCGGCCAGAAATGGTGATCTGCCTGGCCGACAGCACAGGGCAGGGGCCCGCTCTGGCGAGGTGAGTGCCACCCGCACAGGGGCGGCCGGTACTTTGCTCAGGCACTGGGCGTGCGATATAGGGGACATGGCGTCTTCGTCCGCCCTGAGGCTTGCCTTGTGTCTGTTCAAAGTACCTTGCCTTGCCCCACGATAGGTACTCTGGTTGTTGACCTGGGACACCGTGGTTCAATCTCGAGACAACAGCCAGCCGATCCATCATACCGCCTTGGCACATGTCCTCCCTCATTCACCAAACATCATGCACCAGAAGTCAAATTCTCTTCCCATGCTACCCAAGTTCCCGTCTCTTGTCACTCCTAGGCCAGATTTGCTGACAGCTTGGCCTCGTTGTCCTAATTTAGATACGCCCTCCCCCCCACCAGGCAGGCACCTGCAGGGGCCAGCGGTGAAGGCCTCCAGGGGCGCGGAAGCAGCGTAACCGTTCGTGCTGAGCCTCCTGCGAGTCCACCGTGCTGCATCACATCTTGCGCCTTCGCCCTGCAATCAGCCTCCTGCCACTGGGTGCCGGGAGCATCAGCCATGGAGACGCTTGACTGTGCCAGGCAGCCTTCTCAGCCAGGTGAACGCCGAAAGCGCAACCACCGCCCCTGGCATGGTTCTGCTAAAACTCAGCCTACACCGGACGAGTGGTCTGGATTGGTGCGGAGGCATGAGGCCGAGAAACACCTGCTGACCTCCGAGATACCCTGCAATAGCTGTCGTCATGCCTGAGACCCTTTTTTATGTATCGCTCATAGCTATTCGTCAAGTATAAGAGTCACCTAAAATGAAAGGCCATTTCAGTCAGGAGCATTGCCCCACCATCCATATTCTCTTCAGAACACAGTTCTCCCCAAACAGAAAGAATCAACGGCTCTTCACATGCTTCGTACAAGTGGCTTGGCTGGCCGGCCAAATACCGGAGTGATGGTTCAGGGCGGCGTCGGAGCCGGAGTGGCAACAAACATGTTCCACGTCCATGGACCTCCAGATACCGGGTCAGTGTAAGATTGCAGCACACGAGCAAACAAACGGGGAAACCTTGGTCACATTCATCTTACGAGGTCGGGCTTGGAAGCTCCTTCGGCCTTCCCTTCGCAAACCCCAGCAACGTGACGATCGCCTCGCCCTTGGGATCCGCCGAGTCAATTTCGCTGTAGACCCTCCTCTTGACGAAGCCCGTCTTGGTCAGGATCCTCTGGCTGGCCACATTATCGTCGACCGTGACGGCCGTGTACTGCTCCTCCGCCAGCCCATCCTCCCCGACCCTCACCGTGCCCCGATCGACCTGCAGCTCGCAGACCTCTCTCGGCAGCGCCCACCAGGCCGCCAGGAACCCCGTCACAAATTCGGTCGCGAAGCCTCGGCCCCAGTGCTCCTTGACGAACATGTATCCGAGGACGGGCCACCCAAATTCGCCGACCATCACGTGGCACCCGCCGCAGCCGATGAACTCGCCCGAGTCGCGCAGGCAGATGGCGCAGTTGAACGTGTGCGCGTCGTTGGGCGGCAGGCTCAGTGCGAGCTTGGCCTGCGTCTCGGCGACGTCAAGGTCGATGCGGCCGGCGGCCGTATTGCTCATGACCTCCGGCTGCGTGCGGAGGACGCGCAGTGCGTTGATATCCGATTCGGTAAAGGGGCGGATCAGGAGACGCGGCGTGAGGATAGGCTGGCGCGAGGCGTGGGCGGGGAGTGGCCTCGCGGGCAGAGTTGTCTTGACCGTGATGAAATCAATGGGCCCTTCGATGAGGGCCTCGCTCGCGGGGTTTGGGGAAGCCATTACGTCTAGACGATTCGAAGGGAGAAGGTGTGTTCAACCGACTCTGAGAAGGGAGGAATGCCATGTAAGTACGAGAAAGATCTCGTTCTTGTCTATTCATTTGTGGTGTCTATTCATTTGTGCACAAAGCCAACAGAGGTTGACTCACATGACGGTATCAGCGTGCACAGAACATCGCGGGGTACACGACAGCCTGGAATACGGCATACGATGGGCACTAGTCGGAGCGCTACAAACTGTCTGAGAACTCATCACCTGGATCGGTGAAGCCGCATTTTGGATCTTGACAGAGCAGGCACAGACGTAACAAGTCGGTTTTCACATCGGGGAGTAGCTCATTCACGATGCATAGCCAAAACCTAAATGTTGTCATAATATGAGTACCTGTATGTGGCATACCTTAAGGTGAGCAAATCAATGGGCGGGAGAGGAAAGGGACGAATCGAATGCACGATGAGCCCCACTCGCCTGCCTAGGGCTGACGACGGTTGAGGGTACAACGAGTGGATGCATCGCTACCACCAGGCTTCCTTGGCCGAAGGATCAACGACATCACCACTTGGAACCCCCTGCATTTACATCCATCTGTTATCTGCCAAATACCTGAGTCTTCAATGGGCATGGAGAGCCGGAATCTAAATTGTTAGGCACATATTTTCTGGCCCGGTTTCGTACAGCTCAAACTCAAACCTGGTGTATCTCCCTTGAAATCACACCACCTCTGTCGCTCACGACCTCTTCACGAACGATGCCGCCTCTCTCACAACAAGATCCTTCGAACAAACCATTGAGCTGCGCAAGTTGTCGCCAAAGGAAGATAAAATGTGACAAAATTGAACCTCGCTGTACACAGTGTGCGCGATCTGCCCTCGACTGCGTCTTTCCAGCTCGCAAGCGCACTCGCAAACCCAGGCAGGCTCGGCAAAGCGAACTATTGAACCGCATCCACCGTTTGGAGAGCATTGTCGGCAAGGTCGAGTCTGCCGTCGCCAAGCCTCCGCTGGGGACATTTATCAAGGTGGAATCCGATGCGCCTCATGCCCAGGAACAAAGAGAGTCACCAGGCAACACTGTGACAAATGCAGGGCCAGCGACGACTTCATCATCCCGTGAGACATCTGTGGCCCCGAACAACTATCTCAGCAGCGACTTCTGGTCGAATTTATGTGACGAGGTCGATGGGATCAAGCAAGCTTTGGACCAGGAGTCGGAGAGCGACAAATCAGATGACGACGAAGGACTGTTTTTCAGCTCTGAGTCTCCCTCCCAGACGCACTCATCCCCTGGAGCTACGTCCGGCTTGATCATGACATTTTCAGGCGACATAAACCCCTACGGTCCACAACATCCTTCGCAGGCTCAAATCAGGCATCTTTCGCGGACATATTTCACCAACGTTGATCCCGTCATCAAGATTCTTCATCGTCCAACCGCTGCCGCAGAGCTTAATCACTTTGCCGACTCGTTGGACGCCAAGACCCTCAGCAACGACACGGCAGCGCTCTTTTTTGCCATGTATTATGCCGCTGCCACCTCCATGAGTCATGAAGAATGTCTGGTTTTCTTGTCAGAGGACAGATCCAGCATTATCCGGCGTTATCAGCACAACCTTGAGCGAGCGCTGCACAGAGCCGACTATCTATGCAGCTCAATGCTCAAGACTATCCAAGCCTTCACCATCTATGTGGCCGTCCTTCGCTCTCATGGTGCTAGTAGGCCTTCCTGGGCGCTTCTGGGTCTTCTCATCCGCCTCGCCCAGGGTCAAGGTCTTCATCGTGAAGGAGCACTGCTTCCTAACCTGAGCCCCTATGAGACAGAGCTGCGCCGCCGTTTGTGGTGGATGATCATCGTTCTTGACGTCCGGGCCGCCGAAGACCGCGGCACCGAAGTCATCATTCTCCCCGGGTCCTACGACACCCACATGGTAGCCAACATTAACGACGAGGATTTTGGCCCAGACACACTCACAAAACTTGTAGACAGATCCGGACCCACCGACATGAGCTTTGGCTACGCAACTGCCATGGCATCGGGCACCCTCGGCTCCATCAAGCACCCTCCCATCCAACATTTGAACCCAGACATCGACGACGCAGCCACCTTATCTTCCGTCTCCTCCCCTTCCCTCGGCACAGCCCTCAACTCGACCACGGAAGAAGTCATCGTCCGTCAGGCCCAGCGCCTCGAAGCCCTCTTCCTGACCCCGCCCACGGCCCCGTCCCTCGCCATCGACAACCACCCCGCCGCCGGGCCGGCCGCCATCACGACGAGGGTCATCATCCTCAAGCTCTGGCTCTCCCTGCAATACCCCTTCCAGCACCGCCCCGCGTCCCTCCACCCGCCCCGCCTCCGCGTACCCCGCCCTACCATGCTGCGCACCGCCATCTCCGTCCTCGAGCTCGTCCACCATGCACGGCAGCACCCCCAGGCCGCGCGCTTCCACTGGTGGTACGACATGTATCCCCAGTGGCACCCGCTCGCCGTGGCCCTGGCCGAGCTGTGCGCGCAGACGGAGGGCGAGCTCGTTGACAGGGCGTGGGTCGTCGTCGAGGGGGCGGTCCCTAGACTCGAGAATATGGTGGCTGACACGAGGAAAGGGCCGTTGTGGAGGCCGGTGAAGAAGCTGTTGAAAAAGGCGAGGGGCCTGCGGGCCGAAGCTCTGAACAGGAGAGGCAGCGGAGTGACGGATGCTCCGCATGGGACGAGCGTGGCGGTGGTGGAAGAAAATAACGACAGTGTCACTGACGTTGTCATGCTACCTGCGGCGACTGAACTTTCTGTCGAGCCATATGCGGCAGACGCAGGGGACGCTCAAGCCGACTTGTCCTTCCTAGGTGAGCCGTGGCAATGGGACAATGCGCAGGAGTTGTACGACGAATGGGTTGCCCCTGTCGAGGGGGGTGATCCCTCTATGGACTGGACGACCTGGAATGAGTTTCTAGCTGACGCGCAGGTGGAGGGGTCGCCGAGTGAATAATAGACGAGAGGCGCCTGAAACAAGGCCTCAGTTGTGAGGTGGCGTTGCACAGACAATTTGGTAGCGACAAGTAGAACAATCACCACACATCAATGTAACGATTACTGTAGAGGAAGCAGTTCATGCGTCAATTCCTGGTTGATTCGTTGTGCCCTCTGTTCAAGGGAGCAAATGCACGTGGTAGTTCCATGAGACCTAGTAAACACCTGCAGTACCTGCCCAACCTTCCCCGCGACGAAGAAACCCGAAAAACTTAAGCTTTTGTTTACGCAAACGTGGTGGGGCGCTTGGCGCTGAAGAGCTTCTGGTTGCTGATCTTGCTGACGCGGTGGGGGAGGGGGAAGGAGAGGTTCTTGGTGAGAAGCTGCTTGATGTAGGGACGCTTGACGTCGTCGCCCTTCTCGAGCTCGTCGACGCGGAGGACCTGATATGCTGTTAGCGTCTGGGATCGGTCTCCGGCGGCTGGGATGCCGCGGGGTGGAAGCGCGTACGTGGATCGACCTGAAGCGGGAGCGGTGGCGAGCGGCCATGTCTTGGTAGAGGGCCTCGACGGCGTCGGTGCGGCTCATCTCGCGGTACTCCTTGTACATGTTGTGGGTACCGGAGCGCGAGTCGTAGCGGATCCAGATGCCGAAGTTCTTGACCTTGAGAGGGTGCTTCTCGTAGATCTGCAGAAGCCGTTAGAGGCTGTTTTCGTCGTACTGTTCGATTTGTCGTGCTACTACTTACCGACTTGACGGCGATGATCTCACCAGTGGCCTTCTTGACCTTCTTCAGGCCGCGCATGAAGTACCAGTAACGGGACTTGGCCACCGTGGTGTTAGGGGCGAAGATGGTCATGCGGTAGAGGGTGGGAGTGGGCTGGGACTCCGTGGGCAGATGGCGCCCAATGACCTCGTATTCCTGAAGGCGACCTTGGGACAATGTTAGTTCTTCAGTTCGCTACGTGCCAGCCGTTCATGAGCCATCATGTGCGCAATGCCGTAAACAAAAGTGTCGATGGTCAAGGAGGTACCAGTGGCCGGTCGGGAAAAAGTCGTCAGTCGTGTAATGGTCGCGGCACATGGTCAAATCCAGCAGATGCCCTTGCGATTCCCAACCTGCCCCTCCAACAAATGATGTGCTCGAAATTCGACGTCGAAGACACATTCAAAGGTCGTCCGCTTTCCTCCAGTCGAAATTGGTCGCCAGCACGTTGCTGGTCGTCTTCCGGCGCTCGAGCATGGCTGACCCGTTAGGCAGGGTATCGTATCCAATCCGGGAAAGTCGTGGGGAATTTTGTCGTCGGTCGCTCATGGCATTGCACATCGATGGCTCTTGCACTTGTGCAAAGGAATAGAGATCTGCTTACCCATCTTGAAGGTGGTTAGTAAATTGTCGACGAGAAAGTGGTATTGAAAGCAGCAAACTCACTTTGGCGGTATTGTCGATGGCCGTCGGTCGATATCGTTGGTGGTTGCAGGGTCGGGACGCAAAGACGCAGCAGAGAGTGAAAAAGTTCAAAATCTTGAGGGCTTCGACGACCTAAGCGAGATCCACTTTTCGAGTGCGCTAGGTTGACGCCGATAGTGGGAGGTCGGCACGTGATGATGGTGGGGTTAGCTTCCCTGTCAGCCATCCAGCTGCTCCCAGCTGGCGAACTGGCTGGGAGGTGGTGTATGACAAGAACATTTCCCACCAACCTGTCCGAGGGCCCGCTATGTGTGGAGAAGGTACCACGACCTCAGATCCTAGTGATTGTCTTGGAGACGGGTGCAGTGGGATCTCACCGTTAACATATATCTCGGCTCATCGACAGCTCACTGGTAGCAGCACAAAACTGAAGGGGCTTAATTTGTAGGGACAGTTACAGCTATTCATCCGCACGAACGTTGTCATCGAAAGACTAAATCGCGCCCACGGTTTTGCGCTGTGTCCCTAGCCATCTCTACTAGGCCTCGGTCACGAAGGCGTGATGGAGGCTCTCTTCAAGGAAGTTGGCCGTGCCTTTACGGAAAACACAGGGTCAAACGGCTATGATCTCGCCAAGACTCTTTCGCCCACATCACCCTCGGATCAGCTACATCGGCTGGCATCAATCAAGCTGTCAACAAATGCATTCAATGTCAAGCAGGATGTCAAGCACTTCCTGACCCAAGCCATCTCCAAAAAGAACGGATTTGGCAGCCGAGGCGATGTTAGGCAACAGATCAATGGCTGGGTCGAGGTCTATGCTGCCTACTGGAAGGCTATCAACGAGATTTTGGCAGTAGAAGGAAATGATGCCGCGGACAACTCAGTGAGTGCTTTGTGTGCAGAATACGTCTCCCTAAAATCATGAGCAGCTGATTGTCTCTAGAGTTTGAAGAAGCCATCCTGGACCAAAGTCTACGACGCCTGGAAGGAGATGACGATTGCATTGCATAGAGGCTACACAAACTATGGCTTTGAGGCGTGGACGATACCGTGCCTCTACACGGCCGGCAAGTATCTGAGACTCTTCGCCATCAAGGCAGACGCAGAAAGGAGCACAACAGGGGCTGCAGGCGAAGAAGAGGTTCAACTCGGCGACGACTTTGATCTGGAAACAGAGGAGCATCAAAAGCTCAGGGACTGCGAGCAGCAACTGAAGCGTATCTTCACTTTGTGTTTAAGCGACCGGTATGCGGCATTGAATTTATGCATTTCTGTTCACTCTGACCAAGCAACAGCTCAACAGATATTTACGACACACGCAAATGGGGAGTCTACGCTACCATTAACCTTCTTTTCAAGACCTACTTCAAATTAAACTCGGCAAGCCTGGCACGAACGATTCTGAAGGCTCTGGCGACAAATAGAGCTGATATGGCGCCGCTCGAAGCGTATCCCGCACCGCAGCGGGTAACGTTCAAGTACTACGAGGGAGTTCTGTTCTTCTTGGAGGAGAACTACGTTGAGGTACGCGACATTGGGTCTCCCCCAGCGAGCAAAACGTGATCTAACAATTCCAGGCCGAGAAGCACCTAACAGAAGCGTGGAGTCAATGCCACAAGGATGCACTTGGTAACAAGGAGTAAGTCGGTCTGCATCATGTTGGCGTAGCCTATCCACTGAACACGTTATTAGGAAAATCCTTACATACCTGATCCCGTGTCGGCTATTGACAACGCACACTTTGCCCAGCAAAGCGCTGCTCGAACCTTTCCCCCGGCTCCAGGCCCTATTCCTCCCTCTAGCGCGCTGCATTAGGCGAGGTGATCTTCACGGTTTTGATGTCGCTCTCCAAGAGGGCGAGGAAGAATTCGTCAAGCGCAGAATCTACCTTACGCTCGAGCGCGGCCGTGACATTACGCTCCGAAACCTGTTGAGAAAAGTGTTTTTAACCAAGGGCTTTGAGGAGCCCAAGAACCCCGGTGACGCCCCACTACGCAAGACCCGTGTCCGTGTTGCTGAGTTTGCCGCTGCCATCAGTCTTGGAAGCCGTGAGACGGTGGATGTGGACGAGGTCGAATGCTTGCTGGCGAATATGATCTACAAGGTAGGCATCCCTCCCTTTCCGTTTTGCTCGCGTGTGTTTGATTGGTCGTTGCTTGAAACGGCCAGTGTCTTCAGATGGTTGCCTTGAAGAGTCACCGGTTAGACACAGCAATGCTCCTGCAGCTGCACTGCATCGACGGCCGTTGCATGCTTCCCGCCCTTTTATAGCCTCATCGGCAGTTTCTTGTCTGCCATGCAGCTGCTGATGGTATCGCGTCAATTCGCTACCCGAGGCCCCGAGGCTACTACCCATGCATTCTCTTCACAATAATTGGCACACCTACACAAACGCAAACCCACTCGCACTAGAGTCCGTTGCTGACCAGCACATACAGAATCTAATGAAGGGTTACATCTCACGCGAACACGGCATAGTTGTCCTGTCCAAAAACGGCGCATTCCCCGGGACAGGGATCTAGGACACTGGGAAGGCAAGTGACTGGGGATGCGCTCGCCCAGGGAAGCCAAGGTGTTTTCGGAGAAGCAAACGAGCCATAGTCTTGCGTTTGGCAATGGCATTCTCCGACTTAAAGCGGCGGCATTGTATGTGATACCTATCTCTATTCCATTTCATTGGCTCGTTCGACAAAATAGCAAACCGGGCTTGTGCCTACTGAGATGTCTGAGCCTGGTCAAGCCTGGTCTGGTGCACTAATTGAAGACCAACGGTCCAAGTCATTGCGCTAGACGTCAGGTCGACGAGATTGGGAGCAGGAGTGTGCCTTTCCTTTTCTTCTTCCTCATCACTGCTGCAAGTGGCGTGCTGGACCAAGTTCACAATAGGCGGCCAAATTCACGCCCGCGCACGCCGCCTTGGCCCGAGCACGACCTCCTCGCACCAACCCAGCATCCCGGGACACTCCCCCGGAATCCCCTGCCAGCCCAAGCCCGAGCTAAACAGGGGGTTTAAGTGGTTTTGCGGAGTGCTACAGGTCTGCGCCGTGACTCACGCGTCGAGGGACCTCTCGCACGATATCACGGTGCACCACCCCTCAAATGCATGCTGGACCATTGAAAGCACAAAAAAGGCAAACAACGCCCGCCAGATGCTAAACACATGGTGTGGCAAGCTACGATCCACGCCGCATCCCTGCCGTTTGAGCGGGGGCACTTGTTCACAAGACGTGCATGGCTTATCAGTGAGGCCTCTGTCGGGGAACTGCGCCCGGATGTCGGATTCCTGCTTCCCGCATTTGCGACCGGCGTGCGGTTTGTGGCAACGAGTGTCCTCTCAAGAGGTGTCACCGATTGTTGCACATGGCACAGCAATACGTCGAGAGCTTCACTTGCAGAGCACATTGCCACTTCACAATGCGAAGCGCGATCAGATAGTGATCATCAATCAAAAGTTTCTCTTCCGTCAATCATCTTAGAAAGAGCGTCAAGAATAACAATACACACGTCCTCCGTGACAATCTGCTCCTTCGGTACAATGCTCACAGCAGGCCGGTTGGGCTCACTGCAGAGACTCTCAATCTCATGGTATAAGTCAGTTACCAAGATCGACCGCGCCCGGGGCCTTCCTCCGCTCGGGGTCTTGGTTATAATTGTACATGGGGGGTCTTGGGTTGAAAGCAAAGTGACAGAACAGCGCAAAAATGAACAAGAAAATAAACACCCACCCAACGCCTTCCCGTCGTGAAAACGCCGTGTTTTATGGTATTTGTCAAGATTTCTCTCCGAGACCTGGTGTCGCAATCAGATGTCTAGGAAATGCGGAAGAGAAGTGAACAGGAATGATCAAGATGTCAAACGACATCTTGGAAAAGATCATTAGGTAAGTAGATGCATTGGGGGTTGAGCAGAGACGCGTGCAGCGTAGTGGCTACATGAGTCGACCGCTGCGAGGCGTGCGGGGCGTAGAACTATCGACTCAGTCAGCCATGTATTTCCAGAAGAACCATCGCATTGCTTACGCGGCCGTGACGTCGTCAACATGGTTGCAAAGAGCAACAAAAAGATCAAAGAACAGTTGGGTATTGCCGTTGAACATCTCCAACTGCATGGTGCCGCTCCTCTTAAAAGTACCTCGACTACGAATGATGAGGGCGAGGTAATGGGCGCGCAGCTTGGAGTCCGAGTCGGGAGTGTGGGCATAGGCGTAGCGGGCAGAAGCGAGGATGGTGCTGCATTGAATGCCTGACTCTGTGATTCGGTCAGACAAGGTGGTGTGGGAGATGACGGATAAGGGGAAACGTACGCAGACCTTGCTTTCGAAGAGCGATCCTCTTCAGCTCGTCCAGGCCGTACTTCTCTGCTGTGCAGTAGATGACCGTGTCCTTCAACAGATCACCGTCGATGGCATGGTGGTACACGGTCGATTCGACCGAGCCCCTTGCCTCGTCGGTTGCTGCCTCGAGCTCCCAGCTGTTGCGACGCTTGTTGTGCAGAAGACGAGGGAAGTAGTCCCCCTTGTATAGGAACTCCAATACAGACGAGAAGATCTCGGGCTCTTCATCGGGGAGCGCGATACGTCGGGTGGTGCCGTCCATGAAGTTGCCACGGAGGGCATTTTGGAAAAAGGGGGATACGCAAAGAACATCTTCGTGAGCGGCGAAAAGACGTTGTTCAAGCCCGACGACGAGGGTCACGATGGCAGACGTAAGGTTGCTGATGAAAAGGGCGTTAGTGATGACCTGGGTGCGAAAGGGAGATGAGTCTGCGAGACTTACTTGCTGTTGGGTGAGCCATCCTCGGCTGTCGATGCGGTGGTCGGCCGGCGGCTTTGTCGTTGCTCTGTCCGGTGTTTCGATACACCGCTGGTCTTGCTGAAAGACGAGCTCGATTTGTTGGCCTTGTGGTGCTTCGAGAAGCTTCTGTTGCTGCTCGATGTGGGAGGGGGATCGAAGCGGCGGGAGGAAAACATGGTTGCGATTTGGCGATATCCGACTCAAACTCCGAAAATTCAATTTAAATCAAAGGCAGAATAATAAGTAAAGTATACAGAGAGATCAATGAATTGTTGTCGTGTGTTTCCTGGTTGTGTCGACGTCTAATCATGAAAATGACCTACCTGAGGCGACGACTTGATGAGGGGAAGAGCAAGAGGAATTTTGCCAGGCAAGAAGGGGTGCGATCCTATAAATACGAAACCCATGGGAACCATGCACAGACGGAGGCACACACGCAGCGATCCATGCTGCCGTGATGCCTCGCCATTTTATCAGCTGGCGTGGTGAGGGGGACGTTATTGGACGCGTCTGGCCGAAGAGAGGACGCGCCAGCATCAACGGGATAATGGCGCGGAAACACGTGACCCTTCGCAGGGATCAGAAGTGCACTGTAGCCAGGGGTGGGTGGTGCCTGAACTCGACGGCGCCTGGTCTTCGCCTCCACGCCGGCTGCCTCGTTTGCTGGTGACAGGGATCAGGCGAGTCAGATCTCAGGGGGCTGGGTGGCATTACTTGCCTCGTCCAAGTCACTTTGGGTGATATATAAGCGGGAGAGTACTTGCTACGGGAGATGATGAACCCGGCTCTGCCTAGAAGGAGGAAGGCTATTTACTCGGCCCTTATAGGCTATTCACTCTATTAGACAGGGGGGAAGCTATAAATATAGCTCTACTACTAAAATTAGCTATAGTAACTATATACCTTTCCTCGTCTCTTATACCTTCGAGTTACTCGATAGAATAGCGAAGTAAGCGAGTCGCTAAACGGGTAGTAATAGCTCTTAACGGCCTAAGGTAGCTAGTACTAATCTTTTTATATTATAAAATAGGATATCGAAAAGATTATAGTAAACGCTGAATTAGCTTTAATTAGAGGCTATTTAGAACCCTCCTTAGTATTAGCTATAGTCCCTAGAGGCCCCCGGAGTAAATAGCTTAGGCTACTCGCCCTAGAACTACTACTAGAATTACAGTATATCCTATTATAGCTACGTAATAGTAGCTATTAATAGTAATTATAGTTATAGAGAGGTATTATATATCTACTCCTCGGCTAAGAGACGTTACGTAGCCTCTTACTAGCGAGACGATTCTATAAGGGTCGCTAATTACGTAGTAATAAGCTCTATTTACTTATTACTATTAATCTTCCTCTTCTTCCTCGGCCGGATAATAGGAGTGCGATTTTAAAGTAGGATTAGTATAGAATATAACGATAGTAGTTCTAACCGCTCCTACTATAATAGTACTTAGCTAGAAGTAATAGTTTAAGTAGTAGAGGCGAGGGAACTCGGGGTATTATAGGATCCTATAACTAAGGCGTTATTAGTATTAAAGCGCTAGAGGCATTCTTATTTAATACGTTTAGCGCCTTTTAGGACCCTATTTAGAAGTAGTTCGAGAGCTTCTTCGCGAGCCCTTTAAAGGATAGCTTATTTATAATAGAATTAATAAGTAGAAGCTAGAAGAAGGAGGAGGGGGGAATAGTAAAGCTTATAGCGTTCTAATCTAGCTATTAATATAGCGAGATATCCTCTAAGGTTAATAGCCGATAGAGGGATAGATAGGAATATAGTATATAGCGATAAGGTAGTCCCTATTATTTAGTAAAGCTATTAGAATAAGGTAATAACCGGAATTACGGTTATTCCGAATTCCTAGCTTTTAAGGCTGCTTATAGCTTATCTTATATCTTCTCGAGGGCTTTAAAGGATACGAGAAATATAAACTATTATATAATCTATTCCTATTAGAATTTACTATTAAAATAGTATATTTACGATTAAATTAAAGTTTTATATCGCTCTTTTTTCTTATTAATTATTTAGTAAATTCGCTTTTATAAGATATAAAGGTCTACTTAGCTTTTACTATTCGGAAGGTAGCTCTTAAGCTTAGTATAAGCTCCCTTTACTATAGAGGTAGACTTAAAGCTATAATTTCGGAATCTCTTAATAGAAAAGTTATAGAATTACTTATAGAATAATAGCTAGGTAGTATTTAGGTAGTAAATAAGCTCTAAAGTTAGGATATTAGCTTTTTAATTAAGAGTATAGAAAGGGAAGGAGGTAAGTAAATTAAGCTATTTAAGATAGAACCTATAATAGAGGGAATCCTATATAAACTCGAATTCCCTTTCTATTCTTATATTAATATACCCCTTCTAAGCGAAGAAGAAACTATTAAAAGATTAATCTAATAATAAATCTAATAATAATTATATAGAAATCGGGTATTATAAACTATTTCCGTTATCGATAGTATTAAATATTAAACTAAGAGCTAGAAGTACCCTTAATATTAAATTATTTTCGCTAATTATAGAGTTTTCTACTATATTACTATTTATAGGGAGTAAGGGCTTTATAACCCTTCTAGTAGCTGAAATAAAAGCTAAACTATATCGTTATATATATTATTAGAAAGAGAAAAAGCGGGG